AAAAAAAAAAAAAAAAAAACCTTTCATAAATCATTTGATTTGATATTTTCGGAGAGCTTCATTAATTTAAAAGTGTAAAATAAATAAATAAATAAAGTACAACCGAAAAAGTTACAACCAATTATATGGATAATTAAACTAAATCCAATTTTGTAGGATGTATTAAATATTGATTAGATTTTATATGTAAAATAAAATAAAAAATAACTGGAATAGTTTTACGTGTTGCAATATTTTATATTTAAAAAAAAAAATTGAAAAATCTTCTTTTACGTATTGCATACCAACATTTTAGTAACTACATGGATATTCCTAAATTAATATTGCATACCCAATATTTTAGAAACTAATTAAATGCTAATTTGATTTGCATACCAAAAATATTAGATGCATTAATTAAATACTTGATAAAAATAGCAAATTATTAATTAGATGACTATTTTACATACTACATTTATTAAATAGTATAGCTTTTAATATAAGTATAGATTCGGCGGTTCATTGGTGTTTGAGTCAAAGTTATCATTAACTCGAACGAGCTCACCTTAACGAGTCGAGTTTGCTAAATAAACAAGTCTTACACAATTTCACATTAATGAGTCGAGTTTGAACCGAACAAAATCAAACATAGCTTATGAAAAGTTCATTTTATTTTGTCCAAATGCATTTTCAGCTGTAAGTTTTTTATTATTTTATCAATATTGTAATATTTTTATGGTTATTATTGATTGTTATTATATATTATAGTATTTTCTCATTTGTTTATTATATATAGTAATGTCTTCTTGATTTTTCAAAAAATTTCCATCCTTTATTTTTATTTTTTTTAACATTTATTGAAAAACAATTAGAATTCAAAAAAAAAATAATAAAATTCGTAACAAACAGCTCCGACATAGTGGCGCTTTGATACCACGAGGAACAGGAAAACCAAATTCCAAAGAATCAAAAAATGGAAAAATTGGATCTCTATGTTTGGAGGGATCATCGTAAATTATTAAGTACAAAAACATTGAAGTACTAAAATTAATAATTTAATATTATTTACTGCAATTTATATATGTTGTCCTCCCATCATTTATTCGTACAATTTATATATATGTATAACTAGTTTGATTCTGGTTGTGCACAGCACAGCCGAGCCCAAATTGGTTTTTATTTAATTTTTAATTTGATAATTATTTTTGTAAAAACTTTTTTAAATAAAGTTTTCTGATAAATTACTATAAACAAATAGGAACTAAAAAGTGTACCGAATAAGTAAAATAAAAAACTAAAATTCATCACGAGCCACCATAACAACTTATAAATGAAAATCAAACTACATGATGGTTCAAAAATAAGTGGTAGAGAGTTGAGTCTAAAGAAACTTGCAAAAGTTGTGCAAGTATAAGAAAATCATACACATTTTGTTTGACAACAGATAAACTTCAATTCTGGATAGATATCATTAATTAATTTTCAACTTAAAAACTAATCATTTTTTAGGAATGAGTATGAAAACTTCGAAGTAAACCTCTCGATAATGCTTAATATGTTTAAAAACCCCTACATTCCCCATTTTGCATCATTTTTCTTGATGTCTTATGAATATTATCAACTTGATAGGTATCATCACTGACTTGCTTGCCCATATTAGATAAGCTTAGGCCTTTAATCTTCAGTTAGTCTTCAATTTGCTAACCAACATTGCAGCAACGACTCTCAAGATTAGTTTCGACCCGAGATCAAAAAGTAATTAGTCTTGAATATCCAATACTATTGAATCTTGAGGGGTAAGGTGTAATTTTTTTATCCTACAGTTGAAAATTGAAACTTGAAGAAACCAAATGACCCCTAATATTTTACTTTTTTAGGTCGTATCCCAACCATAGATAAACTAACATTTATACGAGCAGTCAGTGGCAACAAACGAAGATCCATTTCAATCTCCATTGTGTAATAATCATGCAAATTTAAATAGGTAAACAAATTATGCCCAAGTATTGTTGTAGTGTCAGGGGATTGTTTCCTTCAATATCTCCAAAAATGCATTCGAATGCAAAACAAAAAGATTTATGAACACAACTAAAGTTTAAAAACAAATATTGAATTATAAAAGATTTATGAATACAACTGAAGTGTAAAAACAAATATTGAATTATAGATGCGTATACAAAAGTTGCCATGGATAAAATGTTGGACTCAAACACAAGCCTTATATAAGCTCTAGCTAGATTTTTACCAATGATGAGTGTCTCGTGAGGCCTGTCGTCGTCGCCTTGAATTGCAGCCCCTTAGCACATGGTCCATCGCCAATGTCCCGACATAACCGAGAGTCGAGACAAACTGAATTAGCGGCAATTTTCCTACCTGTCGTTCAGCTATGGATCCAATCTCTGGCAAGCCATGGTCGAGGCACGCTGTTGTACCCTTACGGGATCTTAGCTGCCATCACCTTTTGCTGCCTAGTGAGCCTCTATCACCTTTGTATTAAAAGAATGCAATTTTACCAAATAAGGAATAACAATCAACCTAGGATCACTATGTATCCAATTAAGTGGGACATCACAATCTGCATGCTAAGACCAAATAAGAAATAACAATCAACCTAGGATCACTCTGTATCCAATTAAGTGGGACATCACAATCTGCATGCTAAGACGTCAAAATAATAATAATAATAATAATAATAATAATAATAATAATAATAATAATAATAATAATAATAATAATAATAATAATAATAATAATAATAATAATAATAACAACAACAACAACAATAATAATACATGAATAATAATAATAATAATAATAATAATAATAATAATAATAATAATAACAATAATCAGAGTTTGTTGCCCATTATCCACTAATAGTTTTATCGTATCCTATGCCCGCCGAAATCAGCAATCACTCTCGAGCAAAGAAGTATATTACTAAATAAAAATAAAAGAAAAATATTTGTGAGATCCTTAAAACTGTAAGATGGTCAGCTTTAGGTCTCCAAAGTTTGCCCCTTCCCTTCAAGTCACATTTGAAAAGTGTATATATGTGGAAAAACATTTGCAAATGAATATAAAACAATGAAATGGTTAGAAAATTTTTGAAAACATTAGCAAATGAATATAATACCATGAATGCTTACAAATTTTTTGAAGTTACGTGGATTGTGGAAGATTAAGATACTGAAAATAGTAATTATATATGAGAGATATAAACACCAAGGTGAAATAAGAATAGAAATGCTCACCTACCCACGGTAGGCACATGTTAATATGCCCACCGTGGGTAGGGGAGCATTTCTAGAAATAAGAAATACAGTTTAGAGTAGAAATAAAAAAATCTCTTCAAGGAAATATACAATTCATGAATATGTACTAAGGATAATCCAAAACAAAGTAGAAGTACAACTTGACAATTAGTTTAGTTTGTTCAAACAATGAAACTCTATTCAACACACAACTAAACAGCCTGAGAAGCCATTAATATGAATTAAGCGCCTAATCAATCGTACCTCGTCCTATTAGGAGCAAGTAACTAATACACAACTGACAATTTTCCCCCTCTTTGCAACATTAGACGTCTTATTCCATAAAAAGGGTTGTGAGTAAGACAAATTTAATAAGACCTACATAACTCGATTGACATTAATTATTATAAATTGCTCGAAATAACAAAATTAATCCTGGAATCTTTACATCTAAAAAGTATCATGCATGTTGACTTTGGATTTTTCTGCAAATCAGTCCACTATTCTTTAAATAGTAGAAAAATAAAAGTCCTATCTGAGCTTTAAAAAAAAAAAAAACTCTTAACCTTGTTCAGATATATGTTGTCCACATTCAAAATCACATGCACCGTTTGTGACCTATATCTGTATAATAGAAGTGAGTACAATTGTTTCAAACATTACCGCAATTTTTCGCTTTGAGCGGTACTTGTTTGGAGCCATCATCTACCTGATAAGTTAAGCAAAAGATATAGCTCAAGTAAAGTGATATAAAGCAATGTATGATAAAATCATTGGCTAATCTAAATGATGAATTATTGATCTCATGATTAAGGTACCCATTAAATAATGAACCTAATTAAACACAAGCAGCACAGTTTGGAAATTCAATTGAAATGTATTAAAAGAGCCTTCACTCTTCGAGCAAAACAAGCAAAGTTGGATACAAATTAAGGAATGAAAGACAATAAAATTTTATAAGTGCAGGGAACTGAAAGTAAACTTGGATACAAAGACGGCTGAAAAGAACAACCACTTTTATATTTTAATTGCCTTTTCTTTAATAAATTTTGGTGTAAGTTTCTAAATAAAAACCTTTACACTGTTTCATATTATTATTATTATTATTTTTTAAGACGAAGTATCAAATTCGACTATACATTTGATAAATGAAAGTCCAATAATCGGGTTAAAATATCAATATATTACAACATTAGGAGGCATGAAAGACGAAAGTTCTACACCAATCTATGAGTAATGTCAAAAGCAAACATAGTGCAAGTTCAGTACCAACAAAAAAATAAAATCAAAATCTCCAAAAAGAAAGAAAAAAATGACAAACTTTGGAACTCAGAAGCACGACTTTTCTACGGTAAGATTTCCTACACAACCACTCACAACAACATAGACCACCATAAAACTGAAGAATAAAATAGCTATATTTCAATATATACGGCTTACTCCATAAATCACCACCTACATACAAATTAAATAAACATATAACAGCTGTACTTGGACATTAATTTCAACATAAGGCTCTACCCAACAAATGAAATAATGAACTCAATTTTTTATGATTTGTAATGACAAAATCATGTCTTTTGACGAAGTGACTCGAAAGTCTTGTTTTTTCTATGCATGGCCATTAATATATTAAAAAATAAAAAGAATCTGTTTTTGGAAAACAATGACAACCCCAACAATGCCTTTTTTTTATGGCTTTTGTTCAAAAAAATTTGAAACTTCGAAAAAGGTAGCAAAAACTTTGTGTGCATAATATTCAGTGAGGCGATGATTTTATTTATTTTTTAATCCAAATACTCTACGTCTCTCCCACATACGAACCAAAAGTCGTATATACATATGTGCACAGGTAGCCATAAAACATGTCGCTAGCTGCAACCAAATAAGACATCATAAGAAGTAACAACAACAAACACCACAAATAAAATTGGTGATTACAGGTGATTGAATAAGAGTTCTTAAAAAACACCGAATAGAAAACAAAGAATTCAACTAACATAAATAATTCAAAAGAGGACTCACGATGAAAACATGTCAACATGAAGAGCCATGATGTCAGTTGCAAAATGAGTCATTGGATGAGCAACAATAGGACGCATCAACGTTTTATATAAATCATAAAGATAGATAGCAAAAATATTTGCACAAAGAACATAAAAAAAAAGCCAAAAAATTCTGCTTGAACCTCTAACATAGCAACAGACCACACAAAATAAAAGTGAAACATAAATGATGAGAAGAAATAAAACCAATAAAAAAGCAAGCATGTACACCCAAAATAGGTCCATGAACTTTTTTGGAGTATTTAATATAGCAGAGCAAAGGTGAATAGTTGAAACTAATGTTCATTTGATAAAGCATCTACTGGCTCTTTCATTGGCACCTAGTTGAAGTAAGGAAATAAATAAAGCAAGGTTAACATAACTACTTAATCAATCAAAGGGTTTAAAGGTCCCAAAATAATTGTTTATATATTAAAAGAAAAAAAAAAAAGTGAAGAAGATGCTCAAATATATGTCATTATCATAACAAATTGCAATCGTACAAATGTAGATACATATAACAACACAAGTTCAAGAATAATATAGCTCAATACTTTGCTTCTATGTTGTTGCGTCCCTCATATGGAAGGTAATTGCATATATTTCGGAAAGATATTAATCCATCACAGATTGTAAACCAAAAAAATGTTAACAATGTTATATAGGAAAATTACTTTGGCAAATTTGAAAGAGAGTGTAGAGCAACTCGGTGATCAATGGAACACCTAGGAAAGAAAAGTAAGGTGCTTAGTAAAACACACAATATATTACCTGGAGAAGAACTACAATCAACAGAAGACGAAGTCACTGGTGAGGCACAATCTAACCCATTTACGGCTTTGGGACTCTTATCAGGCACATCAACAGAAGCAAACTGCATAGCTTCGGTAGTGCTGACACTGACACTGTTAGCCAGGAAATCTTTCGAAACACCATCTTCAGGACTATCAACTTTCTTCTTCTCATACTTTGCAAGATCCTCACCCCAGCCAAGGTGAGGCTTTTCCTTGAACCAACGTCGTTGGATGGAGACTTCTTATATACTTTTTTCTTCTCATACATTCTTATTCTCTACACATTTCTGATTGCACACGTCGTCGTTAGATTTCCCTGAAGCACCAGGCACCAGACGATGCAACAACGATGCAACAGGTGGTTCCCAAGAGGGAGATCCCAATCCTTCTGACTAAAGGATCCTGCATTTTCCCTACTATTTCTAAAATACCTCCTTCCACCACAGGACCCAAAAGGTCGGAAATTGTCATCTTCTAGGTTGCTGTCACCGTACCTTGACCCAAAAGGCGAAATCCCACGACAAGCCTCATCAGGATGCATTCTCCAACCACCCTGCTTACCATGACCTTTAGCGAAATAACTATACATACCCAAAAATATGGGTAGAAAAACAACATAAGATAAACTGAATATCCCATGAGGACGATGATTTTCCAAATTTATATCTTTTAAAACCCAACGAAAAAGTTGCCGATGAGAAAGTAAATAACATTTAGAAATAAAATTGAGATAATATCTATCATCAGTTGCATGAATTGTGACATCAATAAGCAATGTATTCTGGTAGGGTCTAACAAAAAAGTGCGAGAATAAAAAAAGATATACTTACTTCAGAGGATAGAAAAACATTGTTGTTGGAGGCTTTTCCTGTAAATTTGTTCATTCACCGCCTGTGGATCACAACGAATGTCAACCCATATGTTGCTGCCTCACCGCCCTCCAGCAGCTCCAAGAGGCCGCACAGTGCATCGATGATCGGGTTCACCTCTGTACTACACAAAAGTTTCAAGTTAGCTCGTGAAGAACATACATAGTGTTTTAAATTGTGATGTGCCCGTTGTCGTCGGACAGTAGTTTCTTAGGGTTTTTGTGTCCGGGTTCTGGCTTGTCGGAGCGTGGGGACCATGGGCGGGTAATTTGAAGTAGCAGATGAATTTCAGCGTCGGCGATTTGTTAAGCTTGCGAGAGGTGGGTTTGCTGGAATGATGGGAAATAGGAGGATTTCAGAGAGATCTTCGGCTCATAGCCATGAGAGAAGGGTGTCCGTCGGAATAGGAGAATTGTGAGGGTGAACTGGTGAAGTGACAACTGATGAGGAGGTGGAGTTGGCGTGCCACAAAACCCAAAAAAATCTGTTGCTTAAGAATTAAGTAGAGGAAATAAATTTACCACACTAACCCAAGAAGTAGAATAAAGGAGGGACATTTAAGGAAGTTAATAACCCCTTATCTCATCTATTGAACGAAACGATATTGGCCTTGTTTGGTAATCAGCGGTTAGCTGTTAGCTGTTAGCGGATTGCGTTAGCTGTTTTGATCAGTGGATTTAATTAGTTGTTTTGACCAGCTGATTGTGTTAGCGGTTTGTGAAAGAATGTTTGGTAAAATTAGCTATTTTAATTAGCTGTTAATATGTAAAATTACTTATAAGGACATAAACATACTTTATCATTCTTTTTATGTTAGAACTTATAATTTTTTAAGAAATAAATAATTAATATTTTAGATAATTATAAAAGTGATTTTAAGTATAATAAAAATATATTTTTTTCATTATTATTTATGTTGAAGTTATAATTGTGTCTTTCACCTTCCACTACTAACAAGTACACAGCCCGTGCGATGCACGGGGTGCACAATTTTAAGGTTATTTATACAGCCTTATAATTATATATATAAATGAATAAAAAAATGTACGGAATAAATATAGTACGGGACCGGTGCGAGACACGAGATATATTTATTTAGGGAATACTCAATAAAAGTTTTATAGTACGCATGAAAATTATACAATAAAATAGTATCTGACAAAAAAAACTATATATTATTAAAAACCTCCTTGTACATAGATATTAAATAATTTATTAGTAAAATAGTGTATAAGTTGAT